AGAGGACATCCACCGAGTTGGAGGCCCGGTTCGCCAGCATCTCAGACCTGATCGAAGCTGGCACCGCGTTGAGAAGCATCAACTGTCCTCGCTGCTCCAACCTGCTCCACACGGTGTTGCACTCGCGAGGCATTTCTGCCTTGATGTGAAGCCTCTGAACCGGCTCCGCTCGAAGCCATTCCCGATAGGCCATCATGGCCCACTGCATCACCTCTTCCCACCACCTCCATGAAGTAGCGCTGAGGTCTCTCATCGTCGGGGAAATGAGCTGGATCCAGTCTCCCAGGACCAGTCATCCCAACTCTCCTTCTCGTAGATCCTGAAGCGGCGGCAGTTCGACTGACCTGCCCAATTGCCTCAGAACAGATTGGGCAGCTTGTTCAAGAGGTGAGCCCTTGCTCAGGTTTCCATTCCGTACTGCACAGTCAGGTAGTCCTCCGCGTCCAGGTCCTAGCCCACCTTGGGTTCCGGGATATGGAGTCCCTACCACTTCCTTCCCTTCATAGCTCTGCCCCTGCCCTCCTTGGTGTCCAGCTTGAAGTGCTCCCAACCAAGATTCCGGTACAGGTGGAGCACCACGTCCGGTATCATGACATACTCCAGGATTCCATTGAACTGGATCATATAGTCTCCCAGGTTCCCCTCGTCGTTCATTCCCTGCGAACTCTGGGATCGCTCCGAGGGAAGTCTGCAACCTTCTTCTTCAAGTCCGCCAACTCCCTCTTGAGCATCGAATTCTGAGACTCAGGACTTCTTGAATGTCCACCCCCATCTCTTCTCCACCAGATGCCGTAGGTCTCGTCGTCGATGTAGATGCCTCCGGAAGCCCTGCAGGCCGCATGGCACGTAGCGTGGCTTCACCCTTGACCGTCTGGCTCCAGAAGGGGTTGACTTCCACCTGCCTTGTGGTTCCATGTCCCTTTCCGTCCTTCTTCGAACGACCTTCCTCTCTCCGTTGAGGTCCGTAGGTGGTAGGAGGTCCGTGGGGTAGGAGCTCTCGCGTCGCCACCACCAGCGCGCCCTCGCTCGCCGCGATGTCCTCGATCGCCAGCGCCACCTGGTCCTCCTTGGCGCTCTCCATCGAGGATGTCGCCTCTGGCGAGTCCACGCCAGCGCCGCCAGCTGCTCGAGCCATGGCGGCCAACAACTCGTGGATCCACACGATCCGAACGAAGTGGTCTTACAACCCTCGAAAACAGCTTGGGCCCATAACCTACGTGAGCGTGCCGCTCCTTTTCTGCTTTCAAAAAGGGCTTCAGATGCCAAAAGGTCGTGACCCGGCTGGTGCGTGCTACGCTTGATCATAGCCAGAAGGTCGTGACCTAGCTGGTGTATGCTACACTTGATCATAGCCAAAAGGCCTTGACCTAGCAAAAACCGAACTTGGTACACTTCTTCATTTGTGCGGGCTTCCACAAATCCAACCCAGAAGCCTGGGCCAATCCTTCGAAAAACTGCAACTCTTTGTCTGGAGGAATCCTTTCCTCTCACTGGAAGACAGTGAACTCTTCGATGATAAGATGAAGAAGATGAGGCAAATGAGGCGCTAAGCGACTCGGAGTCCGGGTGAAAGCTACGAAGTGGCTGTTCACATCTCTCTGAGAACTTTATGCCAGCAAAAAAACTTGGGTGATTGATGGCTAAATTGCTTTCAGTTTCGGAGGGCCCTCCAGTCGGTTGGGCTTCTTCTTGTTCACAAATGGAAGTTGATTGAAGCATTTGCATGTTTTGATCCTTATGTGAAATCATAAATTAATCCGTTCATGCTCGCTAAATAGCCGAATCTGGGGGACCTCGTTTTTGTTGTCAGTGGAGGCGATTGATTCAGGAGCATCTCCTGGCAAATGACGTAAAAGTAGGGCAATCACAAGCCTCCCAAGTTTATTCAACATGAGAAACATGACCGAAACTGCGGTTCCCTCTGTGTATTTCTTTTGCACCCCATTCATTTCTCCAACACGGTCTGATCTATTTCCATGACGACCGATCCCAGAACTGGGGAAGGTGCAGGTGCATTCTTTGAGGAGTCAGATTTGCGCACCTTAAGAGGTTGGTTTGAATGTTGACAAGGATGACAAGTGGTGTTACGCATGTTTGGGGGGGTAAATAGGAGGCTGTTACTAAATTTCTTCCCATGCCTTTATGTACACTGCTTGGAACATCACAAGATCATAGCACATCTTGGAAGAGCGTCCATCAACTTGGCGGAACACATCTGTCCCCAGTGGCCCTGGCTTCTGACTCGGGCTCGACGTCTCCAGGGATGTGGGAGACATCGGTGACATCATGCCCTTGAGATCCTACGAGCAACAGGTGGGAGATAGATACAGGCGATGCCACATTTGCATGTTCTGAGGCATTTGCTCATTTTTGAAGTGGGCAGCAGGTGCAAGTGACGAAACACGTGCATTTTTCCAGGAGTTTGGCACATGGACATCCAACACTGTTTTATGCATATTGCCAAAGGGCATTTACCTCGCTAGGAGCACCCCTTCTGTTTGTTAAAATACGCGTATGCACCCCAGGATGCTTTTTGAAGTTTCGAGTTTGAAGCACCAAACATCTTGCAACACATGTAGCTCAGTATAGAAACCGATGCAATTGAGTGGACAACCACATGCTCCTTTTCCTTGCTTGCAAGCATACTTTCAATCATATAGATTCGTAGACATTGGAATGCACGTTTCTTTGGAGGTGTTTCTACATCTACATTGCGACATCACGCGCGTCTGGTATTTGACGACACCGGTTTACCAAATTCAGACACATTTCCCGCTGCACTGCCTACCTACAGGAAAAGGCTCATTGAATCGGTGCCATACGTGTAGCCGCAGCGATTGTGGGCCGGATTTCTCCTTGCTTCCAAGTCACACTGTTTTACGGCTGATCCTGGGTTGCCTAGAGCGCCTAGAGCTTCCATTTACATTCCAGGAAATCATCAAAGATCTTGTGAAATCACCAGAGATCACTCCAAACCACTGGAAATCACAGCTGAGCCTTTGGGTTCTGAATCCTTTCCTTGACCAGGTCTTGGGTGCACCCTTGATTGATGTTCAGAGCAAAAAGGTCACGGCCCACAAGGGCGACGATTCAGGCGGAGTGGGGGGGAGCTGGGGAAGCAAGTGAGGTCCAGTGCAGTCCTCCATCCAGCATTTTTCAGGTCATTTGCCCGCTTCAATTGCCAAGCAGTGGCACTCGCTGGCTCCAAGTCACCCGCCAGGTGCTGAAGACGAGGAGGAGGCCCGTTACCACGGACCAAAAGGGAAAGGGCCGAAGGGCGAAGGGCCGAAGGTGCTGAAGACGAAGAGAAGCAGGTGCTTGGCCTGTAGGATGCACAAGGGCCACAAGGGATCAAGGAGAACCACACCTATTAGTAGCGTTGTTGTTACTAGTAGTAAGGCCAGGAGCCCCTAGTAGCGTCCTTGCTCCTAGTAGCGATGCCCTTTGCTCCTAGTAGCGTTCTTGTTACTAGCCCATGTTTTATCCCTTTGCTGACCAGAGGCTTCACTTTGATCCACTAAGGCTGATGGTATTGGCAAAGGCATCTATGGTCAGCTGCTCAAGTCCGACCCAGCTGATGCAGAACAAAGTCGTATTCAAAAACTGCGCTGTATTCAGAAACTAGTCTTCAGAGACTATTTCGTTGTATTCAGAAACTATTTTCGTGGTATTCAGAAACTATTTTCGTCGTATGTAGAAACTACTTCGTCGTATTCAGAAACTATTTCGTCATATTCAGACACTATTTTCTTTGTATTCAGAAACTATTTTTGTTGTATTCAGAAATTATGTTCCTCGTATTCTGTAAAATTTGTGGGGGTGGGGTGGGTGGGTGTGAGGGCAATAAACATAGGTGGGTAGTTGCGTGAAAAGTTGATGATCTCCGTGAATAGTGTTGGTGTTTTCTTAGTAATTTCCGAACATTAGTTTCCGAATACAACCGTCCAGTTTCCGAATACCAGTTTCCAAATACAAATTTCCGAATTTTGTAGTTTCCGAATACAACCGTCCAGTTTCTGAATACAACCGTCGCAGTTTCCGAATACAACCGTTTATAGTAGTTTCCGAATACAACCGTACCACTGATGCGAGCTCTGTGTGACACCATGCAGTTTAGTGTTTCCGCGAACTTGAAGGATTTGTGTATCCTCGCCTCCTGCTAACAGGATAAGAGTTCTTGTGGACCTCAAGCAGCTACAACTATCAGCCAGTGGATGTGTTTGATAGGCATCCAAATGCAGCAAGCCATGTTCCATCCCCGATCAACTCCACTCCTCCGGATCAATCAATGCCGTTTCCCCTTAGGCCAATCCATGCCGCTCACGGTGCCCTGGGTGACCTGGCCAGGGCCCCAGTGTGCGATCGTCGATGGGGTTTGGTCCACCTCCCGCTTCAAGGGTCCAAGGGTTTAGGAGGGACACACCGGGGAAGAGCACTCAAAGTTGTCTTTTGCAAAAAGAACAAGCAATGAAAGCTCGATTTGACATGTGGCCTGATGAACAGCAAAGAGCCTTGATTAAAGGTCTGAGAGTTCCAGGCTGCACCTATTCACTCATGGAGGGACGATCACATAGCCGAGGATGAGAGGGATTGGGTAATCAGAATGACGTAAACATTAGGTTTGAAGGGGCGCAACAGCAAAATTCATCGAGGGACGAACCCCTCTCAAAAGCGGAATATCTTTTGGATGCGCTCTTTACTTTGGACCCGAGAACTCCAAAGCTCTCATTTGCAGACAGGCGGATGACCAAAAACCTTGGTGCCCATTGAATCTGGCCAAAACACCCTCCCAAACAACAGCACTGGATGGATGGAGCCAAGAGGTGTTCTTTATGACGTTGGCCGAACTCAACAGCGCACAGGCTCAAGAGCGCATGGGCTGGAAATTCAAAGTCATGCAAAACTGGCACAGGCTCAAGAGTGTCAAACGTGTCCAACAGCAGTAGTGGCACAGAGTGGCACGTCGTGTATGACCCAACCTGTAGGCACACGTCGTCACACGTCCACATCCTGGCTTTACATCCCTTTGCACTGATGGATCCAAGCGAGCAGTGGGCATTGACATGGGATGACTTGCAAGAGATTTATCAGGAGTGTGAAAAGGCCGAATTGGATACAAGATGTCTATTCCACCGAATTGCCAGAAGACCACTCTTTAATTAACTTGAGACGAGTCAAGAGCCTGCTTGCCATCCTCATCCAAGTTCCCACTCCATCTGCGACAGAGGCCGGCTTTGGTGTGGGAAGCTTTGGGCGCTTTGTGGAGACCGGGACCTTCCTCGGTCAGACCGTGGTGGCGCTCTCCGCGCACTTCTCTGAGCTCCACAGCATTGATTCTTGGTGAACAACCAGTGGGCCTTGAACGTTCGGGGATTTAGGTGATTCCACTGTGCTTCACAAATCCTTGAACTGAGGAGCTCAGCCGGGAGTGCTTCGAGGCTGCAAAGCTTTTTGCCTGGAAAGCACAGCGTCCCATCCACTTCCACCAGGGCCACTCCACCAAGGTGCTTCAGGCCCCCCTCAGGGCGTTTGGACGGGTGGCCTAGGGAGACGGACTCAGATGACGGAAGAACGTTGCGTCAGAGTGGTGTGGTGGGTGAATGCTTTGGTTCTTGCTGGGAGGTGTGCAGCAAGACTTGCAGCCACAGTAGCAAGTAGCAGGCTTCGATTCCCTGGAGTTATGATGCCAAGTATCAGTACACCCACGCTGACATTGCAAGGCAATACTTCCGAAGTTGAACGGCCCCACGGTGTTCTACTTGGATGCGCATTTTTCGGGCTCGGTGACTGCCGGACTGGAAGAGAAGGTACCTCTCCCGGAGGAGCTGCTTTTGATATCTGAGCTTTTTCCTCATGCAGCTTTGGTGACTAGGCCAAAGAAGATCTGGTGACCTTTGCACAAGCTGATCTTCTCACTAGCAGGACACAGTGACGTACTTGGGATTGAGTAGTTTTTTGCCAAACAAAGACCGCCTAATAGATCACACAGGAATTTGGCCAAGCAAGGCATGTGTAAAGTACATATTAATACATTATATATATATATGCAGATTTTGGAATCATGAAGGTCTGCATTCATATTTATCACAACATTCAAGGGGTCAAGCGCTCATACAGACAGCCTTTCAGAAATAGGCTTCGCGGTCGCTGCGTCTGTGTGCTTCGCATGGTAGTGGAGCCCGCCCCCTCAGATCGAACTAGGCCAGGCGATTCTTTTTCCAGGGCTTTGAGGAGGAGGTCTTTCGTCGCTGGAGAGAGTATGTCCGTTCAGCTGATCTCTACATACCATATAGAAGAGAGGCTGCGCTGAATTATGTGGAGACCTTGGAGTGGAAGAAACGAAAATTGGCTGGTCCAAGGTTGCAGGCTCTTGCGGAAGGTGCCGCAAAACGCAGTTCAGCTCCGACTTTTGAAGACAAGAGTTCAAGCACCTATATGAGCAGAAGCTGCAAGAGAAGGGTAGATGCAGGAATGCCAGGACTTTTCGCTCGAGGCATGGCGGACCTTGGCTGAGCCTATCGAGGGTATGGTCGGGGATATTCCAGTTGAAGTGCGTCACTCATTAAGATACCGTTTCGCAAAAGCAGACAGTGCCGGAGCGCCGCGACTCACGCGGGGGTCCCACAAGGCTTCACATTCTTCTGACAGTCGGCGACTTGATGGGAATACCGTGCCGAGTATGAAGAGTGGTGCCAACAGGGCTGAACGATTCTGACAAGTGGACTTGCGTGTCTTGGGAGAAAGGTTGAGTTGACCTTGGGACTTGACATGCTTCCATGGAGAAATCCACAGAAGGAGCTTCAGATCTACAATGACGGCAGATTCTGATGTGCTATGATCAAAGCGCACGGTTGACCCATTCCGAGTGTTGAAACTGGAGATGGCGCCCGGACTTGAAGGTTTCATTGGACCCGTGCGTGTGTTGGCCACGGAAAGGAAGCTTGATAGCAGCGGACAACGATGCCCAACGCAGCGCGTGTGACTCTTCTGAGTCGTTCGCGGCTCCAAACCTTTGAAGGCCCACTCCATTGGAGACGTGCCAGTGAGCGAGCGAAAGGAAGCGTTGGCTTAACTTCAAGCAGGCACCCTGACACAAAAATTTGGAGATGATAGTCAAAGACCTGTGACGACCTCACTAGAGAAGAACTGCTGTTTCAAGAAGAAGCCGACAAAAAAAGTCTTTGGCAATGATTCCAGATACTGTAGACCATCACCTTTGAGAGCTGCGGAAGCAAGTGAAGTTTGAAGCGGCGATGGCAGAACATGCTTTGATCGCTATGCAGCAGAAACGCAGCTTTCAGAGGACTGCGTGGTTGCACTCATAGCGAGTGGCTTACCATCAGGCAACAAGAGTGGAAAGGGAGACTGGGTGCCTCACTTGCCAGAAAACCTCGCGCCAGCAGAGATGGAACGTTCAGAGAAGCCAAGTTGCCAAAGACAAAGGAATGCCATCCCACATATTCAGAACCCTGACAGGTCAACCAGTCAGAGATGGACAAAGGCTCCTGCTGTTATCCTCGGCTACTAGACTTCACTGTAGAACCATGAACGGGGACCGACGTGGCAAATTTTCAGTGGGGACGTAGAGAAGGCTGCGTTCGACCAATGTCAGACCCTTGTTGCTGTGGACTTTTCGACAACCAAAGTCAGCCCAAGATTTTTCGTAATAGCAGGTTGGCAAAAGCAGAAGTCTGATGGCATGTCAACATGTCAGCAAGCATGACAAAAGGCCTGAACCGTGACGTGTCAGCGCTATACACCGGAACTTGGCAGCCTGCTCCCAGTCTCCGGAACCACCTCCAAAACCTGGTTCGGAACCTGTTCCGGAGCTTGCTCGCGAACGTGCGCCGGAAAATCTGCTTCGAAACTGACCGCAACGAACCTATACTCTGGAACCTGAACTTCTCTCCACAACCTGCTAGCTTGCTCCGACCTGCTCCGAAGTCTTTACTATGGAAGCTTTGCTGTTGGGGAACTATGGCTGAAGACCCCTAAAGCCTTGCTGTGGGGAATAAGGCTTTAACCAGGACTCTCACTGGGCTCCATCGCTGATTGTCCTGTGTGCCACGCAAGAATCTTAAGAACACTCCTGGGTGGCTATGTTGTCCGGTTATGGAAACCATTGTGCGTTCGCACACGCCTCTGAAACTTCGTTCTGACCGCCACAGGCACAGTATGCATCTTCTCACCGGTGTAACTTGTCCTGTCCCGCTTCCAGTTTGCGCTGCTTTCACATGTTGCCAGGAATGGCCGTCTGAGTCTGATTGTCTTCTAAACGGACATGGGAGCAAATTCATGCGACTAGCTGAGGTGTTGCCACTCCGACAAGCTGCCATGTTGGTGTGTTGTACATGTAGAACGCTGTCATACAGACGTGTATAGACACGTTGTTGTGCATGGTTGCCATGGTTAGATTGATGCCGGCATGGTGTTATGTTGGCACGTTGTCAGGCTGTCATTGACGTATTGTCATACTCGCGCGGGTCACGCTAACATGCTAACACGCTGTTGCGTTGGGATGACAAAATTGTGTCATGTTTGAAAGCAGTAGTGTCCGACAAGCGCACGCCACTTGTTAATAAACAAACAAATTGAGCAAATTTACCAACAGATGCCAAATGTTGCCATTGCAAACTCAGCAAGAGCAATGACCTTGGAGCAGATCCGCGCAGGTCCACCGAAGCAGCTCTGCAAGTTCTGGAGCAGGATCCGAAGCAGGCCTCGGAGCAGGTTCTGGAGACTGGGGCCAGCTTTTGCTAATCTGCCTTCACGCTGCTGTCACACAGACGTGCGTAGACACGTTGTCGTGATTGTCATTGTTACGTTCATATGCCGGCGTGGTGTTACACTGGGGCGTTGTCAGGCTGTCATGTTGACACCTTGTCATACTGGCATGGGTCACGCTAACATGCTAACACGTTGTCGCGTTGAGATGCGGCAGGTGGGTCATGATTGAAAACAGTAGTGTCAAATAAACACACGCCGCTTGATAATGAACTTGCGCATCTCGATGCCATTTAGTGCCATGACTAAATCAGGAAATTCATGCCCAGGTGTTGGGGATTTTCCTTGGGTCCTTGGGCTTATCGGCAAACAAACTTTTTCGGATAACCAAACTCCAAAAGGCCCACACACTGGTGTGCAGTCACTGGAGTAGGACTATATGCTCACCGCATGGGCCGATGCCGCGCACGACGAAAAACCAAGTCGAGGCAGTACCAAAGGAGTTTTGCGTGATGTTGTTTAAAGAGTGTGCCCCAGGGCGACTTTGTTGAAGTAAATCCCATATTCTTGTGTTCATCCAAGATAGCCCGTGTTTATCGTTCGATCTCATCAGCAGAAACTCGAGCGGCAGTTGATGGGGACGATCAGTTGTTCGCTCTGTGTTTTCAACTGGCTGAATACCTGGGACCCCACGCCTCTGTGAATGGTCAAAACCATCTTGCGAACAGCCTTACCAAACTCACGGCGAACCACACCAGCTGTTGATATTTTCCAGAAATTGTTTACGATGAAGGTCTCATTTCCGGTTGACGAGAGGAACCAGCAAGGTAAAGGCCCACTTGATTGAGAATGGCGTCAAATTTTTCAATAATCTGTGCAGATTTTGAACCGTCCACATTCATATCAGTCCCGCTCATTCATTTGGGTAAGCGCCCCATAGACTTTTCCAAATAGGTTTCACTGTCGCTGCGCCTGTGTGTTTCGCACAAACACACACACACCTATTTAAGGGATTTGGACTGTACCGAACCCGGGCGAGGTGATCATCGACGACCTGGATCTTTTCGCCCAAGTGAACACCTTTGAGGCTATCGACGGTCAAACTGGGGCCTTCAGTGGTCGACATCCAAGTGATTGGCGATCGATCACTTGTGAGGCACTGGAGAGGAGTTCCAGCTTTCGTTGCTTCGGCTCGTTCAAGGCGCATCGTTGGATGATGGCAAAACAAAATAATCCATGATCCGAGACAGGGATTAGAAGGCTAAGTGCCCGAATCCTAGTTCTAGAAGCCGTGCCTTCCGGTGTTTTTTTCTCCATGTAGGTCTCATGCATAGGGACACTGTATTGGATTGAACGATTTTTGTCTGCACATGATCGCTTGTGGTATATTTGGATGAATCAAGGTTGGGGCTCTAAATATTCCTGGAACGTGACCCTTCTTTCTTTATGGGTTTACCGACCTATCTCGTTCTGATTCCAATCCAGGCGAAGAATCGCTTCATCCTGCAGCTGCGGGCCGATGGCAAAGGGGGGATCGACTCCGGCCAGGACAGAAGCAGCCAGTTCAACGCAGCCTTTTCATCTGTAGGCCTGTAGAGCCAAGAGGGGATAACAAAGATTGAGAACTGTTTTCCGATTCTGGTAGATCTTCAAGACAAGTTTCGACTCATCAATCTGAATCCTTCCATGTACTTGGAAGGTGCTGTTTGCCCGGACCTGGTGCACAGACAAATGGATGCCCAGCATCCTGACCGCGAAAAGCATTGGGTCTCCTTTCCCGGGCTGCGCTTACAATCCGAAGTTTTGGAGAGGGTCCGGTCCCAAGGACAGTGGTGGCGACAGATTGTGAGCGCCATTGAGAAGGAGTCCTCGAATCATTTGGGAAAGGCCTCTGCCAATTACAAAGAACTCCAAGAGCAAATGACTGCAGAAAGGACGAAAACTGCCAAGCTCTGTGAGAAATCTGTTGAGAAGAAGATGACCCGCAAGGAGTGTATCGCGCTGCATGACGATCTACTGGAAGCTTACATGAACAAGGATTTTCAGGACAAGATCAAGGCCGCTTGGGCAGCAGCTGATGGCAACAATGCCAAGCAGCAAAAAGCCAAGCGCCAGCTTTGTCTACCACTTCAACTTCCAATCATGGCAAAATATGGCTTTGAGGCCTCTGAGAAAGGTGTCTTCGCATGCCTCTGGGCGGTTCGAACCACATTTTTCAACTTCAAAAGGCCGGAGGAGTTTGACAGAGAACTCACCTTGAGGGCCGCCCTTTTGGACTTCCTCGCCCCTGAGCGAGAAAGAGAAGGGAGGTTTCTTCTTCAGAGCCCTACCATCCACACTGCAGTTAGTGATGCCACAAATGCATTGAAAGTCCTCTTCTCAACTCAAATGTGTTGATGGTTCACAGGGAATGCTCACTATCACTCCACTAGCAAGACTCAGCAAACATTAACGATCTTTCTTGCAAAACTGTCTGGTCCGCTCTTTGACTTCTGTCCAGCTGAGGTGAGTCCTGGCCATTCGCTCCATCCAGAGGTTGCCCAGTGGGCCGTGCAACACTACGCGGCCACGCCGGGCGCCGGCGCTGTGTGGAAGATGCGGAAGGTCCAGACGTAGCGACGGTCTCCAACCTAATAGCGATGGCATCCACCCTCGTAGCGATGGCCTGTTCGGCCGATGGGGTCGGTTCGGCTGCTGTGGGGGCTGCCCGCAGTCGGCCTGGCACAAAGGCTTCAGACCCGTGGGTGGCGAGGCGTCAAGGTGACCGCGTGGGCACATCACCTGGCTTGCGACAATGGTGGTGACCTCTTGGCAAGTGCGGTGATGTTCAACCAGCCGATATTCATTCCTTCAGCCATCGCCCTCGCGTCACACACTGCACGGCATCTTGGTGCTCTTGGTTGCAATGGCTGAGGGAAAACTCGATGCGCTGTGGACCTTCTCGGCGTGACCCAGAGGAGACCTTGTTGAGCAAATTCAAAGATGTTGCTCCGGACAGACTGCCATCCTTGGTCTGAAAAAAATGTCGTGTGGATGGCCGGGGCCACCGGGCACGTTCTGGGAGATCCACCCGATAATTAGGGTTCCCGGTTTCCCTCTCGCAGGAGGACCGGAAGCTTTGCATTTCCCTTTTTTACATGCTTCCATCAGCTCCATCGGGGGTCTCTTGGTCGCTGAGGCCTCATCGACAGACCCTCTGGAAGCCGGCGGTGGATGAGGACGGACCCAGGGTCTGTCGAAGCCACCGTAGACCGTGACTTAGGTCGCTGTCCTACCGGGCACCACGTGGTGCCGGCCATGGCGAAGCTCCACTCTATCGTTCTCGGAGACTTCAAGAATCATCGCTATAAACGAAGAATCTGATTCATTTGGCAACGGCAAAAAAATGAATTATTCCATATGATTCCACCTTGAAGCAATCATAGGCCCCCGCCAAGCTAAGTAAAATAGGAAGATTGGCTTTGGACATGTTTTGGCGAGCGCTCGCTACAGCCGGTAGTCATGCCCACATTGCAGGACGGCCATGCTGTCTTGACCCCGGACCCTGATGTAAGCTGTATGGCCGTGGCCTACTGCTTGCAGGCCGACAGACCGGCGGTGCGTACCTCGATCCTCACGACCTCTTTCGCGGCTCACCACTGTCTGGTAATGCCTAACTTTGCTCCTTCTTTTTGAGCCTTGGTCGGCAGTGGACTGCTGATTTTCCAGCAACCACTTGAAAACTGCCCTGTCGAAAGACTAGGTTCCGGTATCAAAAGATCTCTTCCAAGTTCCACGCAGACGCAAGGCCCATTGCAGGATGTTTGGTCCTCTTTCATAGTGAGGTTGTATCCAGCTTACGCCAACAGAATCCATTGTGAAAGTACGACTTCCGCCTATGCACAAATGTGCATTTGCAAAACACCATCTCCAAGACAATCCCAAGAACAGGGTCAATGGAATGCCCGAAGTATCATCAAACTCCCATGCACTGGTACTGTTTCTACTTGCTCGCTCACACCTCTCACCCTCAAGACACCTTGTCTTCCTTGTCAGAGGGGAGGCATTGTAGTTCTGCGCACCGGAAAGGCTGCCTTTGCAACTCAAAAGACGAGCCTCGATGGTGCGCTAACTCAATGAGCACCTCAACAAGATGCATTTCGATATTACAATTCTCCACCTGCATAAGCGGTTCACTTGTGGCCCCTCAGTGAGTGACTGGAGCTCCGGTGGGTCCAGGGCAAGACCTACGAGTACTACGAGGTTTGCGCCTCAGGGAGCAAGCAGGACTCAAGTAGGATCAAGGCAAGGTTTATTTCCCTACAAAACATGTCACCAGAATTGGGTCTTGGAAGGAGGTGAAGTGCTTGTAGCTCGGGTGAACAAGGGCGAAGAACGGTCTGTGGAGACTCTTCTTGGAGACTCGCCCGTTCAGCTGTAAGTTGATCCCAGACTTTCAGGTATCCAAAGCGTGGACGTGATTTTTATGCTTGGGATCATGATCTACAAGTCTGTGACTAGGAGTGGACATATATAGAATCATATCGTGTTACAGATACGGACCAGTTTCTTTTTTGTGGTTGAGCCGTTTAGAGAACATGTCATTGGAAAAATGACAGGACTTGACCAGACTGACCTGTGATTTAGCATCCGACTTGGGTTCAAGGGGGGAAGGGACATAGCTGTCAAGACCACAACCTCATCTCATTGAAACACGAGAATAGTCACAATGGGCAGAGCTGCCCTCACTTCTGTCGAGAACCCGGGAGAGAGCTCATGGAATGCTGATTGATTTTGAATTGTATGACACGGCACCGTTGCCTTGATCGTTGGGATTGGACTCTTGGTATGTACTCGTACGGCATATACATCAACGTGCAGTGCTTATGTATGACGTGGGACTGTACCTTTCTGTCGAGAAGCAAAGCTCACTGGAAGAGAGGTCAAACTTGGAGGCAACACAGCAAGGAGTTCATGTTTGATTTCTGAGGACTGTTAAACATTGTTTCGCTGAAACTGTTTAGCTGTATTCACCTCAGCTATCAGGCTGCATGCGAATTGGAGATTGCTCGCAACGATGAAGGTACACCGGGCTGACGGTTGAGAAGAAGCTTGCACTTTCCAGCTACTGTCCAACAGTCCATTCCAAATTCCAAAGTCCTAGCAAGGGCCAAATGGACGAAACTAATCAGACCCCAAGGTACCAAACAAACATGTTGAACTTGTAACATTGAGATTTGGGGTGCGGGGTTCATGGAGACAACATGATGTTCTGGGGTTTGATTATTGTGTCCATCTACTGTAGTGATTCAAACATTTGGGCTATGTCACTCAAGCGGATTCAACTGCACAGGTTTGTTGATGGCCTGGTTTGTCTTGGGCATGCGCACAAGATTTGTAGCCGATCCCGCGCCTGGCCGAGACCAACATGGAACCTAAGGCGGTTAAGCTGTTTCCACAAAAGAAGACTCCTCTGGACTCATGTTGACCGTTGAACATGTTTCTTTTCCCGAACCCTCGAACCCCTATGAATGTTCTGACTTTGCATTTTGGGCTTCCATGTTAGAAAACTTGTATTATATATATATTATCAGGTGTCCATGGACCGGCAAAAACCAATTCGTGATCACCCACCTTGGCCTCCGGATGAAGCTCCCCCGCCGTAAAGGCGGGGGGGAGCTTCCTTGAAGAACCGTGAGGACGCGCCCTCCGGCGTTCAGGTGGCCTAGCTGGCGAACGACCCTCTTTTACTTACTGCGACTGCTCTTAACTAGTTAGGTGCCCACTGAATCCATTCCGGCAGACGGTGAAAGGTGTGGATTGGCCTTCGAAGACTCCATCCGTACGCGACTCCACATGTCCTCGGCTCTTTCCGCTGCTCAGACCACGGCCGAGCGGCTGGCGCTGCGGGCATGTGTTTCCACACTCGACACCAGCATCACAGCAAGGGCCTGAAATTGGGGGCAGGCCAAAAGTTCGATGTCTGGCCAGGAGTTTGGCAAATTGACAAAGTTCAACGCTGCCATTTTGATGTGTTTCCACATCTTCCAAATGGTCATTTTGTCTTGCAAGCGGGTTAGTGATTTGATGGGTGGGAGGGGGTTCCAGTTCCAAGCCAACGACTGCTGACCTGGGGCACTCCGAGCATGCAGCTGCTTTTTTTCTCCAAGGGCACTCCAGCAAAAACTGCTCGAGGATGCTGAGGTAATGCTGCAATGTACGACAGTGGGAAATCTAACATCATCCGACCTCATCTTCACGTGATGGGTTTTGCTCCAACATCATCCAACCTCCGCCTGGTCATTGCCAAGCCGATACCTCTGTGAGGTCTCAAAGCCTACGTCTTCTACTTGCGTTTTGTGAGTGGTAATGCACCAAGTCTGTTGGGTTTGGAGAGGCGAAGAACGACGGCTCGTCTATGACTAGACGAGTCAACAGGGGGTGATTGGAGAGGCCCCCCCAATTCCTACCATTTTCCTGTGTTTCATAGATCATTTACATATTCTATCTTCAATGAAGAGCCTGCTTACTTATCTTCTTTTGGGATGTTCTGAGATGTGGGGAGGTGAGGAGATTTGGAGCTGGTTCGGCTCTAGTGATGTCTAGAGAGTCTAGTGGGTGCCCCTCGAGCCCCCAACTCCAGATTTGGCAGGGCTGAAACAGAGCTGATCGTGGGTGCGCCTCTTAAGCTTGTTTCCGGGCAGTATGGGGAAGACGGGAACTGCTTGATCCCGGAGATTGATCTCGTCACCACGGAATGGATCGGTTTCGGTGCAACTCCCTAAAACAGGTTCTGGGGACATCTATTTGGGAGCGATTGGTGGCCAGCCCGGGAATCCAAATCGCCGGGCTCTTGCAGAGAAGTGAGATGATGTTTTTAGGTGGACTTCTTGAAATCACGGTCGTTGCTTTTTCTTTTCAAGGTGATATCAACCATGGCGAGCTGGTGTTTGGGAAGCTGGACGTGCGAATGCTCAGCTGTGGGCATGAGAGGTAGGAGCCGAGCACGTGAAGGGGTCATATTAGGTGACGAAGGCCTATGTGGTCCCTAGTTATCAATTATCCTAGTTGATGCTTTTTGGGTTCCTCCGAAGGAACGTGTCCTGCCATTCGGTCTCCTGGTTCAGTGGTTCCCTAGTCCCTTGGTCTCCTTGCCCCAAGTCCCTTCATCTCCTATGGTCCTTTGGTCCCCTGGTCCTTTGATCCTGTGGTCTCGCATGCCCTGCTGCTGTTGTCCTTTCCCCAGTCTCCTTTTCCTTTCATTGCTCACTGCTAATATTTTTGCTTTTTGTTTGATCCCTTTCTTTTTTTCATTTTGATCCCCGTCAAATATTGTTTATTGATGCTGTACTTATTCTTTTTGATACCTCACCCCAATTTCAGTCCCATGGACGTTAGGTCCGCCAGCCTGCCCAACGCCTCTGAGGATCACTCACCCATTCAAACGCCCACAGAAGTGGCGTTGCTGAACCGGAAGGAGAAGGCACTGGTTCCAGTTGAGGATGGAAGGAAAGTCTTGTTTGATCATAGTTACACAGTTACACATATTGGTTCCTGATGCACCCATGGCAGTACCAACTGCACGAGGACATGCTTGCCTTCCCCAAACCTGTCCTTTCTAGGATGCCTCCTATAATAAGTTGCCACTGCGGAGCGCGCAGTTGGTGGTGAATGACGGCCGCCACTACTTCCGCGCAGGGAGCGCCAGTGGGAAGTGGGGCTTCGGGTCAGTACTCAGCCTGTGGGGCCAACGAAGTCTGTAGAAGGCATGTGCTCAGCCAAGAGTGCTTCGGGGAAGGTCGATGAAGCTTGGATTGGGAAGGAAGGGAGGCAGTCTGCTCCTTTCTAGATCGGATATATTGTACCGTTTCAGCACATTCCAACGCAGAAAAACACTTTCCGATACGGACTGGCTTTCATTCGCTTTGACGTGCGCTGGATGAAACCAAGACCTGGGTGTTTCTGGGAGACCATGGGAGACCTACAGCTGCGGGTTGGGTCTTTTATCTTCGCCATTTGGTGATGT